ATCAGATTTTGGATATTTGTTTAACATCAAAAGCCAAGAATAAACAAGTCACAAACAAATCAAGTCACAATGGGAAAAAAAAGTGAACAAAATCTATTGTTTTCTTAGGGACAAATGATGATGATGGTGGTGATGGTGATGATGAAGAAAAATCATACAACTTCTTTGTTAGGAGAAAATAATGTGAAAAAGAGAAAATTAAATCAAAAGTAGAGCTAAGTATTTGCAACACATATGCATAAAGATTATCATTGTCACTGATAATAAATGCATTGCAATTAAAGTAATAATCTGACGTACAGGGATTGTTTTAACAAGATAGTTGAAAGGAAAAGCCCTATAAAGGCATCTCTGGCAGCAGGTGTTATACATAAAACCTTCGGCACAGAAACAATAGGTACTGAAATCTGGAAGTTTACCGACTGTGCCAAACAGTATCCAAATATAATTTCAACTGTTGTAAGTTTGTGAATGGTTGTAAATTTTGTATTACTATAAAAAGTTTACAACCATCAATCTTTCATGGCACACCTGTAGCCCATTCTGCCATGGCCTCTAGCGGGGAGCTCGGCTTTAGAGAGCTATGAAAGGCAGAAAAGGATTAAGTGGTGAAATGCATACTACAAACAATATTTGATGATATCCAAGTTTTCTAGGAACGCCTATGGCACAGTATGAAAACCCCTGGGGATGTACAGGGTTTAAGCAGATGAAAGAAGAAGGGCACTTCAAGTAAGCTGGCTAGAATTAGCAAAATACTGAGGGGAAGAGAGAAAAGAAAGATAGATTACTGTTAACAGTGGGTGAGAGACAGTGTTAAGCTTTGGATATATAATTTTTTTTTTTTTTTGGAAAGTGGCCAGAGTAGACTGTATAGGAAATTTGTGTTGGTAAAGAGTAGCAGAAAATTTTTAGTTTAGAATTATAGGTATAAATCATAGAAAACCTTGAAAGTCAGGATATGATTGTCATTTTGTGAGCAGTGCTCTCTGACTATAAAAAGCAACTTGGAAGATAGATCTGGACACACTGGACAGGACAGGCCAGAGAATGACCTGAGACAGGGAGACTAGTCAGGAGGCTGCACAATAGGTGATAAGGGGCTGAGCCAGAGACATAGGAGTAGAAATAGGAATTAATTGAAGACACATTTCAAAGGAAATAGTGGGATTTAGTGAGATTCAACAGACTGAAGAAAATGGATGACTCTCAGGCTTTGAGGCCAAAGGACTGAGAGATTAGTGGTATCACGTTCAGAGAAAAACCTGGGAGAGGGATTTAGTTGGGAGATGGACAATGGATTCTAGTGAAGTGTCCTGGAGGCAATGGGAAGTATGAAATAGAAGCACAGGCAAGAGGTCAAGGATGGGAAAACGAGTATAATCCACACAGTTTTGTCATAGATAAAGCCATGAAAAGGCTGTGAGCTCTCCAAGAAGAGCAACAGAAAGAATGCTGAAGACCTGAGTTGGGGGAAGATTGCTAACTCTTGCTTAGAGTGAGGAGGAAGGAAGAGGAGTTATGGAAGGAGGCAAAGGAGTAGTGCTGAGGAAAATAGACACACAAGAATGGCGTATGCTACCAAAGAGGAGAAAGTCTCAAGAAGGAAAGAATTGTCATGTCTAGCAGGTCACCTCCCATGTCAGACTATGTGTATTCCAACCCTACCTCTGTCACTTATTAGATGTCATTGCAAAAGTTCTGTTATCTTTTTTAGTTTCATCATCTGTAAAATAATGCTAATATATTCTACCTTATAGGGATACTTTGAGGATTAGTTGAGAAAAATGTATGGTCCAGTACTTAGCACAGTACTGGTCCTCTTATGAGTGCACCTGGCACTTACGATAAATTAATAGATGTAATTGATAACTTTTAAGGGAAAAATACAATGATGAGAAGAGAAAAAAGAAACTGCAAGAGGTTAAAGAAGGACCAACCCCTGAGAAAAGACAATGGGTGTGGAAAACTTACAAGAGATTCCTTGCCCCAAAATGAAAAGAGCTTGCAGATCAATTGTTAGAAAAGGCAATGGGATGAAGTAAAGGCTTTACTTAAGTTTGCTCTATACTGACCAAGGGTTAACCATTGTTACTGTTGTCATAGAAGCTTCCTTAATTAGGATTGGGGCATCTTTTCATTTACACGAGATTATCTGAGACTCCAGGAGAGAAATTAAACAATTGCACAACAACTAAAAGATCCTGTCAAAATACATGGACACAGAAAATGGTGCAGCCACTGTGGAAAACAGTACGGCAGTTCCTCAAAAAATTAAAATACAATTACCATATGATCCATCCATTCCACTTCTGGGTATATATAGACAACACAATTTAAAGCAAGAACTTGAACACATATTTGTATACCTATGTTCATAGCAGCATTATTCACAATAGCTAAAATGTGGAAACAATGCAACAGTCCATTGACCTATGAATGGATAAAATTGTGGTACACCTAACAAAATAGTATTCATCCTTAAGAACAAGGAAATTCTCAGCTTGGGGCCAGTGGTGCAATGGATAACACATCTGACTATAGATCAGAAGAAAAAGGAAATTCTGACGCATGCTACCACATGAATGAACCCGAAGACATTGTGCTAAGTGAAATAAACCACACACAAAGGGACAAATATTATATGCCATATGATTTTATATGATAGTCAAATTCATGAAGATAGAAAGAAGAATGGTGGTTGCCAGGAGCTGTAGGGAAGGAAGATAGGGAGTTCGTACTTAATGGGTACAGAGTTTCAGCTGGTGAAGATGAAAAAGTTCTGGAGTGGATGGTGGTGATTGTGGCACGACAATGTGAATGTACTTAATGCCACTGAACTGTACATTTAAAATGGTTAAAATGGTAAATTGTATTATTTTTAACACAGTAAAAGAATACATATATGTGTAGACAACATAAGACAACATTGTGCAGAGCAAATAAGGTACTGCTGTTTGATAGATAAAATGGTTTGAAAAGTCATCAGAAACAACTTATAAGAGGAACGTTTTAAATGATGAAATATTTCATACTGACAAAATTAAATACATGATGTAAGTAGAAGTATAAAAATAATGAAACAAACATCAGGGCAGCAACCATCCAGCTTAAAACATAGAGCATTACTAATAATACAGAGACCCTTGTTGTATCTCCCTAATGACGTCCCTCTCCCTCCTCTCCCTCCTCCACCAGGGGTAACCACCATTCTGAATTTGTATTTATCATTCCTTACACTTTATTAGAATATTATAACATACATATGTCACCAGAAACAATATATTGCTTTTCCATCTAGCATGGTGAGACTCCTCCATGGTGATGTCTGTGGCGTACTCATTGAGAATTGTTGCTATTATCTTAACAATTGAAGCTTTTATCATTATGTAGTAACTCTCTTTATTCCTAATAGTGCATTTTGCCTTAAAGTATCTTTTGTCTGGCATTGGTATGTCTACCTTAACTTTTGTTGGTTATTCTTTGCTTATTTATACCCTTTTTACATTGAGTCTTTCTGTGTCTTTGTTTTTTCAGGTGTACCTATACCTATATTTTAACTCGCACATTTAAGCCCATTTATTTTTATTGTGATTACTGATATGTATGCATTGTTTTCTACCATGCTATTTGTCCACTTTCCTATGTTTTCGCCCCTCCTTTCTTGCCTTCTTTTTGACTGATGAAGGGTTTTGCTTGTTTGTGTTGTTTAAAAATTCCTTTTTTCCTCTCTACAGATTTAGTGGTTATATTACTGTTATAACTTTTCTAATACTTTGCAAAGTCTAAAATTAATCATTATTTTATCCTCTTTTTCCTCCAAATAAAAGAATATAAATAAAGTAAAAGGTCATGAAGTCCCACCAACCTAAGACGACTTTAGTTTCTTGTCTTGGAATTTCCCAGCCGTGCTGGTGCTGGTATACATTGAAAACTTAGAACTAGTCCGCGGCTACAAACTCCTGGGGGACTGTGTCTCTCCTGACTAGAAGCAGCAATGCAGACAGGTTTCTTTGCTGCTTACCCCCGCCTGTAGGCAGATATTTTCAGCCACACCTTTTCCGGCTGAGGGTGGAGTCCCTGGGTGGGTCTCAAGTTTAGGTCAGAAGGGGAGTCCTTTAGTCCAGACATTGCCTTTTGTGAGCCCAATCCTTGGTCTCTACCCACCCTCCCTGGCCATTTATCTCAAGGCTTCAAGTTCCTGCCATCTACATTTGCCCAGATGAGCCCTAGGTTCTGCATTTGCCCAGCACTGCGGGTTCCACTTTACTCACCTCATTGGCCACTGGAAGATTTCTCTCACTTCACTGCAAGCCCAGCAAGGCAATGTGAAAGGCTTGTACTGAGATTTGGCTGGCCTCTAGGTGATTTGAAGAGGGACAGCTTTTTAGCATATCTAGTCTGTCCCTTTCTCTACTAAAAGCAGACAAAAATCTTTTGATCTGTTGTTTATTTGTGGAGGGAATTGTATACACTTTATGGATTTTCATGTTTTGTTTCAATTTGTCCTGGAACTTTTTAAGAGAAAATGTACGAATTTTCCGCTTGACAATTAGAGTGGAAAAGAACACGCAGTTATAAAGAGAGACGCTCATCAAACGGCTGTTTAATGATAATTTTTATGTGGAAATGGCCTAATGTCAATTCACAGAGGGTTCAGAGTAAATTTTGCTACAATTCTTACCCAGCTAATAACAGCTGGACGACATGGAAAGATGTTCATTATATAGTTTTGAGTAAATAAGCTGTTTTGTATAATCTTATTTTTTTATTTTACAAACATATATATTTATACTGAAAAATTCTGGAAGGAGACATCCAATATTTTGGGGTGATATCATTAGGGAATTTTTTGCTGACCTCCACTTTTTAAATGAACAAGGCTGTGTAATTTTTATGTAAAGGACATAACTATTTACAACAAAAAGTAGGGGTTAGCAGACGGCTTTCTAACCTTGGCGTTGTGTAACCATAGAATGCATTTGTCTTGCAGAGTCCCCAAAATTGAATGTCAAACAGAGGCTGGGTGACCTCCTGTCCAGGATTGCTCTCATCGTATGAGTCGAAGTTTTCATCTTAGGGATTTTTCTCCTGAGAATAGGCCAACCAATCAATGGCTCAGACAGATAAGCCAACATGCATCCCGCCGGAGCTGCCGAAGATGCTGAAGGAGTTTGCCAAAGCCGCCATTCGGGCGCAGCCGCAGGACCTCATCCAGTGGGCAGCCGAGTACGTGCTCCTTTCTCGCCTTCACCCCTTGGAGGACGGCCGGAGAGAGAGGGTCCTGGGAAACCGCAGAGGTTGCCATGGCTGCAGCCAGGGGGTCGGGACTAACTGGCATCATCTTTGTTTTAGCTCTCGCATTGCTTTGATGCTTTAAAATCCACACATAAATATTACATCTAGCAGGGTGAGGATGGGATGCCTCCCGTAAGCGAGCCAGATTGAGCAGTAGGACGCCAGGTCAATCGACCGTGTCCTGGGGCAAGCAGCAAGAGTTAAGTGACCGCGTCACACCAGCGTATGCACACCCACCTCCTCCCTGCTCTCCTTTTCCCAGTCCCGGTGGAAAGAAGGGCTGGGAATCTCCGAAGCTTAATCTGCCTTTCTTTGTTCTCCTGTCTCACCACTAGATGGCAGCAGTGCAGCCGGGGGAGGGACGCGACAGCCCTGGGTGGATGGGGTGGGACCAGTCCAGCTGGTTCACCCCTTTAAGGAGACACTTCATCTCCTGTGTTAAAACTCTTACTTGGACCCAACCAAAGACGCTTTGTATCTTGTCTTTGAGGAAATTGTTATTTTCTTTAGTGTTTCTCTGAACTGATTTGTTCTGCCAACCTAAAGATGTCCGCACAGTACCCATTGCATTCTGGAGAAAGCAGAGTGATGGGGTCCTCAGGCATGGCTGAAAACAGTGTGCCTCAAACACGCGGGCCTTCTTTCAGGAGAGACCTCCAGAGGCTGCTCAGTAGATGGAGCTCACACAACAATCGCTGCGGGCCGGGATTGAAGCAGCTTTGCACAGAAAGCCTCTCAGCTATGAAATTGCTCCTTAGACAAACTTGTCTGCTTGAAACTGGGGAACCAGGACTTGAGACAGGAGCTGGAGGATAACTAGACCTCTCGGACCATTTTCAGGCTATTTTTACTGTTTTATGATTCCCTGCTTAGGAGGGTTTCAGTAGGAAGGGGAGAGTGAGAGAGGCCGTTGAGAGACAGCCAGTGAGTTGGGGAAGGGAAGATGTCCTCAGCCTGAGGTTGTGAGCGGGTGTACTGCGCAGATGGTGGGGAGAGTGTGGACACCTTTGAGAAGACACCAAATGTCATCTAAGAGGGGCCTTTCGGAGTCTCTGGGCCAGTGCTGTGCTCCCGGGCTGGATTAGGATGCAGCTTTTACAACTGGAAGGAAAATAGACCAGGGGTGCTCATAAAAAGAAACATAAATGGCGGTTGCTTCGCCTAGTAATGAGCCCTGTTTAGTTTTCCATTCTAAATTTTATATATTGCCTCTAAGATTGAACTTTAGCATCAGAAGACTAATTTATTTTGGCATAGTCAGATAGACAACTTTTATCTTATACGTTAGCTTCAAACCCATTTTAAATTGGTTCTTGTGCTGCTTTTATACATAAGCAAAAATGGACATTGCCCTTAGTATTGTCCCTGACATTATGGAAAAGCAGCTCCCATATTGTAAGCCACCTGCCTCGCTGTCTCACTATTGTATCATGTGCATAAATTTTTTAGACCCAATCCCATGAAAAACTAGTTTGTAAGTCTTTAACCACAAGAAAAAGGAGGGCATGACCTAAAGGCCTCCTTTCCTATCCAGATGTACAAAGCTACCGGCTAGATGGGTTGTATTGACTTACTTAAAACCTTTCCATTCTTAGAGAAATAAAACTCACGAAGTATTTCCAAGACAAAATAACGTTTATTCCATTGCAAGTAAAATTCAATTAAGGTCATGTGTTGTCAACTGAAAGAAACCTTACCAGGCATGTTGCGGCAGGACCATATACTTATTTTGCCCTGGTAGGCATGTGTACAAACACAAATTTTGCAATCTATCTGTTATACCATGGACCGATCACTTGCAAATGAAGCTCAATACCCCAAACAAAATCCATGATCAGCTTTATTTCATGTTTGTCTAACCAATTCCACAGAGAATTCCAGAAGGATGTTGTGTGGCTGCGATGGTTACTCACTGCAGCACTTCTGTAAATGAGGTGCGTGTGCTCTGTCTCCATTTAAATACACCCAGGTCCGGTTTATACAATAGGCACCCCGCCTCCTGCCTGTCCACATTGGCCACCACGCCAAGCACGACACGGAGACACCCGCAACACTGGCTCCCTGGGGCAAAAGATTTTCTATGCGCACGTTGAAGAATGTGCCTTAATGGATTCTCTTCGCCCTTCCTGCTGGATGACCTCCAAGGGGTGACTGGGCCAGTTCTAATCGCTTTAGTCCATGTAGCTTAGCTCTCGCCCTGGCTATGTGTCAGAGACAGGCCAATGTAGACCAATCATTGTATGGCGACCTAAAAAGGACTTTTACTAAATTCCTCTATGTTATTTCTTACAACACGGATCTGGAGGAAGTAATGGGAGGGAAAAAAGCAGGGTAGGTGACAGAATTGTGGTCATGAGATTGTCCAATAACAGCTTTGATGGAGACAGACGCGCCATACATAGCAATTGGTGTGACCACATGTAGCGGCCTTCATGTCCGTTCCCTGTTGCAGGCAGCCCTTTTCCTCTTATGCAATCCGGATAACGAACCCAGTACTTGTTCCACACATGCCCCAAACAAAAGTCCCCATCCACAAAATATGAGGAGCATGGCGATTTTACTGAAAATTTTGAAGGAAGGATGGATAACAGTTTATTTCCAACAGTCACCATAATAGCTTCCTGATTGTCTCAAACCTTCTTTGGCTTGTCTTCTCTCCTGAGCCTTGCACGGTGCCCTGACAACCCTCTCTCCCTTCCCTCTTGAAGCTCCAAGCCTCACTACCTCTGGCCAGAAACCCTTCCTGATTCACCCCTAGGACACTTCCATCTCTTCCCCTTCCCTCCTTTTTTGTTTCTTCAGAGATGGGGGTCTCACTCTGTCACCCAGTCTGGAGTGTGGTGGCACAATTATAGTTCACTGCAGCCTCAAACTCCTGGGCTCAAGTGCTCTTCCAGCCTTAGCCTCTGGAGTCGCTGGATTACAGGCCCTAGTCACCATTCCTGTGCTGTCTTCCCCTTTCTTTTTAGTTCTCTTCCAACTTCTCTTCCCAAGATTGTATATACATGTGTAATATACATCTGCATGTATAAAACATTCAGAGATGACTGGAAAAGGAAACCTGAACCCGATATGCTCCAGGGAATTGCATACCCAAACTTTTCTTGGTTCTTCCTCATCCTTAGAGAAGAACAAAGTTTTGTATTCTCTAAGCATTCTCTGTGCCCTAAGTGGAGAGTAACACATTCAGGCTTTTCCCTTGTGTAAGTGAACTAAACACAATGACACATAGAAGCCACTTCACAAAGGTTCCTTTCTCTACCTCCTTCCCTCAGAAAAAGGGGGAAGGATTGCTAGAACAGCCAGAGGTCACTGGATATAGGATGCTCCTCCTACTCTCTGACTTTTTTCTTGTAGTTATTTTGAGGCCCTATGTAGAGAGATGCCTCCGGTGAGAGAGCGGTCTGAGCAAGCTGCTTTGTGTAACTGGACAGAGCTAACACCTGAGCTGTTAAAGGTCCTGCATTCTCAGGTAAGGGCTCTGCTGCAGCATTGAGGGGAAGGTAGGGACAGTGTTGAGGCTGGGTGGGTACAGATGAAAGCCCTCTGTTCTCTTGCCAGTCAGTTGACCACTTAGCACCACCCTAAAATACAGTAAACCGTGGACTGAAAGTAAATCTTCCCTTGGGGAAATGGGAATAATTTTGAAATAGGCTGTAGGCTGAGTCATTGGTGGGGTCATCCCAGGTTTCCCTGAAGCTGGCAGAATGTACAGGGGCTCAATGCAATGCTAATCTCGTCTCTCCAGAAAAGTGCAGGTCCTCAGTCACTCGACAGTGTCTCCCTTACTGATCAAGACCATAATATGATGCCAGTCACAGTTTGGGGAAGGGCATATTTTAGCTCCCCAGCTATCCCAGGTCCAGACATAACTTTTAGCTTTCAGGGAGAGGCTGTGAGCCTCTTCACAGCCACATCATCCTGGGAGCTGCCTGGAGAATGAATGCATGAGGAGGGTCCAGTTTGAGAAAGTTTGTGGTTTGGCCAATTCCCAGGAAATACGGTTGAGCACCACCATACCCTGCTTTATGATCCAGGACAGAGAGGTTAGGGGTGATTTAGGACTGGTGCGGCTAACTACCTTGGTCCCAGAGGCTTAGCATTTCACTGGAATCAGAGGGTCAGGAGAGGTGGTGGAGCACTTCATCAGGGGCATCTGTGCTCTTGTTGCATTGGTGGCCAACAACCAGTCACCTTCCCTCCTTTTATCCACCAAGTACCTTGTGCAGTGAACATGACAGAGCTCTAACGTACCTGGGATCAAGCAACATCAGGCGTCCAGACCAAATCCCCGTGGGTCAGCCACATACCCCGTATCATTCCAGGGAAAGCATGAGGGATGCGTGTGAGGTCTAGAGCTAAGAACTCAGTGCAATCTGGAAGAAAGAGACCTATGTCTTGTTTTAATTTTACCATTAATTAGTGGTCTGAGGTAAGCCATCTACCCCCTGGTTTTGTTTTCAGGCTGTTCTATCTGTCATATAAGGAATAAAACAATTTAGGAATACAATAGCAGATAAAAGCATCACCAGAAATTAAAATGTAATATGAATGTATATCTTTTGCATAATTCTGACACCTGAAGTTTAACAATTAATAAATTATATTTCAGCATGCTCTTCAGTAGGATTTGCGAAAATAACTGCCACACAGAGCCATCTTGTACCTTCCTAACACCCCCTCCCGCCCCTTGCCATGTGCTGGGAGATGTGGACCTGGCCTGGGGGCGGGGTGTTTCTCAGGGCCTTGTCTCAACTTCTCCCACATCTCTGTGTTGTGTCTGTCCCCTGCCCTGCAGGTTGCTGGGAGACTGATCGTCCATGCAGAGGAGCTGGCCCAGATGTGGAAAGTGGTGAATCTTCCAGCAGATCTGTTTAATAGTGTGATGAATGTGGGTCGCTTCACGGAGGAGATCGAGTGGCTGAAGTTTTTAGCCCTTGCTTGCAGCGCTCTGGGAGTTGTAAGTTAGCTTGACTGTTTTGTTCCTGAGGGGGCAATCTCCCTCCGGGCCTGGAAGGGCAGTGGATCTATACACGTGGTCAACTCTCCAGGGCTGATGATAAACATGCCTCTTCTTGCCTTGGCCTTCTCCTCTCTAAAGCAAAGTCATTTCTGTGCTCGTCAGGCAGAGGCAGGGGCTGGGAGGGGCAGAGGGAGACACCATCGTCAGGCTCTGGGGAGAGTTGACTACAGCGTAGCTCTTGGATTATTTATGAACATTGCCCTCAGATTTATTTTCACTCCACTCCCTCCATTCACATTCCCAGAGACAGCCAAGAGCCGGCTGCAGAAAAAGACTTCCAGACACCTAGAATATATATCAAGACACTTTTTAAAGGGGGTACAATCTTATAGAAAACTATGTAATAAACAGAATTGGATGCGAAACTCAGACATAAGAAAGCAAAAAAAAAAAAGAGAGAGAGAGAGATGAGGCTGTTTCTGAATTTAGTCATGACATCTCCATGGATGCAGGATGTTCATACAGATTTATGCCTTTTCCAAATTTGACTTGTTTGATATTGGAAAAGCAATTTTACTGGTTTGAAGCCAAAGATGCTGAAAGCAGTTTATATGTATAGATATTTAAAGCTTGGGTATCTTATATTGGACTTACATTGTTAAACATTGTTAAAATAACTTAAAATGAATCAAAAACATGTTTTTTTAAAAGAATCCCTGAGATACATACAAGTTTGAAAATTATTGAGAAAATAATTGCGTCTGCCAAAACCGAATGGTATGAAAAGGTAGTCTGAATCATTCAGCATATCTAAACATAATCTTGTTCTTCTCAAATATGCTTGGAATACATATTTGACAGTTTTATTTCTGAGAAAATTTAGTGGAAATATTGTAGTCCAACTTTTCCTATAGGTTCCCCTACAGCCTTCATCATAATCACTTCTTTAGAGAGAAGCAAACAAGAGGACATTTGTGGCTCTTTTTTTCTTCATTTTCCTTTATAGCATTTATTACTGAATAAATCACTATCCTCCAAGGAGGAAAGAAAAGTAAGCAGCAGAGGTCTATGAGTTGTCAATCAAGACTGGGGAAAATCACAAATGGGAAGATAAAAAATGGACATATTTTATTAAATTCTCATAGGGTTACAGATTTTTTCACACCACATTTTGAGACATTTTGGGGTGAAAATGTACCTTTAAAATTTTATCTGTAGTTAATTCGGATCTTCTTGGTCTATCCCACCCACAAAGGGTCAAATAAGAAAATAAATAAATTCAATCCAATCCTGAAATTTTAGTCTGATGTGGTAACTGAAACAGCCTAAAGATAAATTTCCCAGTATCTCAGGTTTTTCCTCACCACGCTCTCTTCTCCAAGATGGCAGTTGAATGTAGACGGAAAGAAGTGACTCTAGGACCACAGAGCAGTCAAGTGAAGGGTTTCCCACAGCCCTCAGTCTTCTCTGGCATCTCTGGTCTCCATGGCAATGCCTGTCTGTCTGGTTGCTAGCTGCTTGCACCTTAAGTTTTTGGTCATGTCTCTCCCAGACTGGTGAAAGGCTGACAATGCCTCCCCCACCGGCTCATTTCAGTTCTCAATGGTGTTGAGGGCCTCTTTGAGTCTTTGCCAGGGTGTCCTATCTGCTCCCTGGCTCTGGTGGTCTACTTCACAGCCCCTCACCAGTGTGTGATGTGTCTGAGCCCTTCCCGTATCCCCATACCTCAGAGTAACAAAGAGTGACTTTGGAAAGTCAAATTCCAACCCTCCCTCTACTTAGCCCACTGTGTAGATGCTAAGTTTCCTCTGATGTATCTGCCTCCCAAACTGGAGAGGGGAAACCACGAGGTGAGTTGGATCTTTCTACTTCCCTTCTAAAACAAGGAGGTGGGATTCAGTGTTCCATGAGGTTCATCTACCTCTGACATCCTGTGATTCTATCCCCACTTCTCTGCTTCCTCTGAGACACCCTCAGGCCTACCTCTGAATAACAGTGAGCTCCTCCAATTCTAAGAGGCCTTGACATATCTGATTTTGTTCTGCATCATCCCCATGTCAAAGAACCCCTAGAGGTAAAGTCAGCCTGGAGGTTAAGTCTGTAAATAAGGGGTGCCCTATGAAACCAGTAATCAATACCCTTATATTCATTTCTATCATGCTGGACTGTTTCTGGGATCTTAAATGTGGGGCTGGTCAGTGATACGGTGTGAATGATTGTGTCCTCCCAAAATTCGTAAATTGAAACCTCAACTTCCAAGATGATGGCCTTAAAAGTAGGGCCTCTGGGAGTTGATTGGGTCACGAGGTTGGAGCCCTCATGAATGGGATTAGTGCTGTTATAAAAGTTGCCCCCTCCACCAAGTGAGGACACATAGAAAGCATCATTCATGAAGAACAGGCCCTCACCAGAGAGCAAATCTGTTGGGTCCTTGGTCTTGGACTTCCCAGACTCCAAAACTGTGAGCAAAAATTTATGTTGTTTATAAATTACCCAGTCTAAGGTATTTTGTTATAGCTGAGACTAAGTCAGGGGTCACCATCTGGTGGAGACCTTGCATCCTAGTTAATTCATATATCCTTAGAGGCAAGCCCAGAATTTCTCTTTCCTTTGCAAATTCAACAGCAAGACAGGATCTCTATGCCATTCAGAAAAGCCAGTTTGTTCCTTGTAGAAGAGTCTAGTAACAGGAATTTTTACTCCAGTAGGTAATAGGTACATTTACTCCATCTTGAGCTCTCTGCGTCTAATACACATTATTCAGAATGCGATGGCATGCAGACCTGCATTCCTCCTCCCTTCAGTACTCCTTCTTCTGGACTGGTCTATGCCACCTCCTGTTCCACTGAATTTTTAAATATCCACTGATTATTAAAAAAAGAAAGAGATCACGTATGTAGAAAATAATCATGTTCACTGGAAGGAATGACATATTTTGTTAGCAAATGATTTACATTTCAAGGCTTTCACCTCTAACTTTGAAAATGAAGCTCGCAAGATGCTTAAAGATTATGTCTGTGAAGCAGATCCCAAAAAAATATTGTGCAAGAGAATGAAGATCTGTTTACTTTAGATTTATGTCAGTTTACCAAATAGCTCCAGTGCAAAGAGTTATTTATCCACTCATCCATTTATTAAATCTTTAAAAATACTTAAAAATCTTATGAGGCAATGGAATTTGAAGGTTTGTTGTTTGAATAATCAATAAAAGATGATGCGTAAGGCTGAAAGCCCCTATGTTAGTTTGTTAGGGCTGCCATGACTTGGTGGCTTGAACAACAGAAATTTGTTGTCTCTCAGTTCTGGAGGACAGAGGTTCTGGGAACAAGCTGTCAGCAGGATTGCTTTGTTCTGAGGTGTTTCTCCTTCTCTTAAAAATGGCCAGCTTCTCGAACTGTGTCCCTCTGTGCCTGCATGTCTTGTGGCTCTCTCTTTATGTCCTAACTCCTGTTCTTATAGAGACATCCTACTGACTTCATTTTAACTTACCTTTTTGAAGGTCGTATGTTTAAATACAATCGCATTCTCCAGTTCTGGGGTTAAGGCTTTGACATATGAATTTTAGGGGGAACAATTCAGCCCATACCAGCACCCCATGGGAGAGGGCAACAGAACAAAGCATTAGGGGTGCAGAGGGTTGTTTTTGTTTGCTTGTTTGCTTTTTTACAGAAACGGGTGAGCTGTGGGTGGAAATTATAAAGTTCAGAGTGTGCTCGCAAATCTACCCCAAACCATTCTCTTACTCACATGCATGACTTACCATCCTCCCAGACAGCCTCATGTATACTAGTTAGCCCATGCCTGCCCTCCCACCTGCTCTGAATTAAGTGGAAGTGCCTAGAAGATGCAGTGTTTCACAGCGATTTCCATGAGAGGATCCCCAGGGGCAGGGGAGAGGAAAGGAAGGTGGCCTGCCTCAAACTCAGTTTTTTTTGACATTGTGTGGTTTATTGAAAATTTTGTTTCAGAAAATAACAATGCTTATTAAATGTAAAGAAACAAATTTTAAATATTAACTCAATTAAAATTAATAATTATTACAAATTATGTTTAAATTACTTGCCATCAAGTCAAACTATCACTCAAGGAAGAGTTTATTCACATCCTCAGTACCTCAGTACCTCCTGACATAGATTACACTCCTGGATAACACACACCCTAGTACCTCCTGACATAGATTACACTCCTGGGTAACACACACCACAGTTAGAGAAGCCCCATCTAGGCAATCATTCTGTTCTGGGAGAGGATGAGAGAAGAACAGCAAACATCAACTGCTAAGGCAGGACAAGTTTCCACTACTAATCATGTGGGAAGAAGCAGCTGCTTTTTCACTCCCCCTAAGGACTCAGGACTGATCATTCACTGATCCCTGGAAGGGTGTGTCAGGATGATCTGTACATCATCAGTTTCAGTAAACCACCAAGATCTGTATGCTGACCTTCATTTCACAACTCTTTCGCTTGTATTATTTATTCAAAGGGTGGGTTTATTTAACGACATGAGATTAGTTCTGAGCATGCTCCTTTAATGTTCAAGTTTCATTGTAAGGAGGGTTTGCTTCTGTAGTAACCCCTCTATTAAAATTCCTGGCACTCATTGTCAACCAATATTTCCCCTACAATATAAGGGTTAGTATTATGTAATTTTTTTTTTTTTTTTTTTTGAGACTGAGTCTGGCTCTGTCGCCCAGGCTGGAGTGCAGTGGCCGGATCTCAGCTCACTGCAAGCTCCGCCTCCCGGGTTTACGCCATTCTCCTGCCTCAGCCTCCGGAGTAGCTGGGACCACAGGCGCCCGCCACCTCGACCGGCTAGTTTTTTGTATTTTTTAGTAGAGACGGGGTTTCACCGTGTTAGCCAGGATGGTCTCGATCTCCTGACCTTGTGATCCGCCCGTCTCAGCCTCCCAAAGTGCTGGGATTACAGGCTTGAGCCACCGCGCCCGGCTGAAGGGTTAGTATTATGTAATATTAAATAAAGCACTAGGTGATTCTATTTAGATGGGCCCAGATGCTTTAGAGGAATGTTTATCTTGATGTTCAAGAACATTTTTCCAGTATCTTCCTGGGTCTCTATTTTTATGGGGAAATTACCCTTCTTTCTACTGTGTCATTGCCACAAGTATCTTGCTGGATTATATGGGCTAGACCATTTATCTCAACCGTTTATAGATTGGAAGGTAATAATAATAATTCTAACTATATAGAAAGCAAATCAACTTCCCTCCTTTAGTGAGGTTATTCGGGCTAAAGTAATAAATATCTTAAAGTACTCAGGAATTTATAAATTTAATTCCTCGAGTAGTCTTCCAACAAAGAAACAAAAAAATAAAGATACCCAATACTTAATTTTTTTAGAATGAATTAGTGACATTTGAATGTAAAAATTTCAAGCTTTCTAGAATCTTAAATTGTTCCCACTTCATTTTATAAGAGGAATATTTTTGTTTTCTTTCTTGTATCTCAATGGATCTCAGGAATACTGCCTGGAAGAGTAACTTTCTCCTCATTTTATCTAACTTTTATAGACTATTACCAAAACTCTCAAGATAGTGTGTGAGGTCTTATCATGTGACCATAATGGCGGGTCGCCCCGGATCCCGTTCAGCACCTTCCAGTTTCTCTACACGTATATTGCCGAAGTGGATGGGGAGATCTCTGCATCACACGTCAGCAGGATGCTAAACTACATTGAACAGGAAGTGTAAGTTAACTTTTACCCATTGGAGGTGAAAGAATACCAGGAAAACAAATCTAGCAGGCCAAGATAGTGAGATTATTGTATTATACTGCTCTGGAAATAGAAAAGTATTTTGAGAAACATGAAATATGGATCTGAAAGAAAAGGGGAAAGGGAAGGAGAAGAGGAAGGAAAAGAATGATATAGGACAATAATTCTTTGAGTCCTTCTGAGACTAGCAGTAGTGGCAGCAGCACCTGAGAACATGTTAGAAATGCAGAATCTCAAGCTACATCCTGGACCTATGGAATCATAAACTCTAGGGGTGGAGCCCAGGAATCTGTGTCTTTATAAGCCCCCCAGTAACTCTGACTCACACTTAGCTATGACCAGTGGAACCGAAGTGGAGGAGGAGGAGGAGGAGGAGGAGCAGGGTTAAAAGAAAAAGAGGGCTGGGCATGGTGGCTCACACCTGTAATCCTAGGGATGGCTTGAGCTCAGGAATTCAAGACCAGCCTGGGCAATATGGTGAAAACTCATCTTTACTAAAAATACAAAAATTAGCCAAGCACGGTGGTATGTGCCTGCACCAGTTAATTGGGAGAATGGCTTGAGCCCAGGAGGCAGAGGTTGCAGTGAGCCGAGATTGCACCAGTTACTCCAGCCTGAACGACAGAGCCAGACCCTGTCTCAGAAAACACACACACACACACACACACACACACACACACACACAAAGAGAGAGAGAAAAAGGAGCAACAGCAGAATTAATGTGAAATGAGAGAGTTATTTGTATATTATCTTTCTAAGATTAACTGTCAGTGAACTAACTGCAGATATACCTTTTTTCAAACAGAATTGGGCCTGATGGTTTAATCACGGTGAATGACTTTACCCAAAACCCCAGGGTTCGACTGGAGTAAAAGAACAATTTTGGCAATTTTAAAGGAAGATACAGAGATGATTGTACTTCAGAATGACTGAAACCCATATACCACCCAAAATCAATTTTCTTGTACAACTGGTACACACTAATAAACAATTAAACATATGAAATCAGAAATGTGCGGAATTAAGATGTGAAATTGTTGGAACAAAACACCTTCGTTACCAGAAGATTAGTATTCTTCCCACGTGGACACTGAGTAAAAGTGGCTGACAAAGCATGGATAGAAAATGCATCTCCAATCAAAGCCAGACTGTCAGACTTTAAAAAGTAGTACGTTAACCAGACACAGTGTTGTTGTTCTGTGATTGTTAGGCATAATTTAGATGAGTGCCTTTTATATGGTCAATTGAAGTTTTTACCAGTTTATTTCTCCATTTGTTGGTACTGTGCTAGTCATTCATTCATCCTCTCACTCATCAATATTTATTGAGGTTAGCTATGTGCCAGGAATAGGGTTGCCAGAAAAAAATACAGGGCACCCAGTTAAATTTGAATCTCAGATAAACAACAAATATGTTTTGTTTTGGTTTTTGCTAAACCTGGCAACGTTCTAGGAACTATGCTGGCTTGTGAGCACATACAAATAAATAATATCAGAATTCCACCTTCAAGGAGCTCACAGTCTAACACTAAGACATGAACATAAATCACTTTCATGCAAATGGCCTTGAGAAGAACTAACAGTATTCCAGAAAGTGTCAATGTCAACGGATTTTTCTGAAACCATACACAGATGTCATGGAACTCACTAGAGAAAATCCCCTACATGAGCCTAAGACCTTCTGACAAGGTCTTAAAGATTTTCCTTTCTCGAAGGAAACAGACGAGATTAACAGGCTGTGATTATGGTTCTTAATATCAGGTGTGTCAAGGTCGCTGGGTCAGTCCCTTCTATTTGTAATACTATCCCCTCTTAAAAGTTGCTTTTGCTCAAAAATCATGTTATGTTATATGCATATATCTCTCTACATCAATTGAGGAGAAATTTGTCTATTAGTGTCTAAAGGTAAGAGGAGATTGTGATTGGATGTTACCATGGTCCTTGATTTCTGACTCGAGTGAAACACTAAAAGGGACTTAAACAGATTCTTTCCCCACAGCACTGGGCCGCACCTGCAGAGATGGGCAACAACTAATCCTACCTGCTGTCTGCCTTCCTAGCCAAAGTGGCTGCTCATTTCTTTTTTTTTTAACTATAAGTTCTAGGGTACATGTGCACAATGTGCACGTTTGTTAATATGTATCCATGTGAGTGGCCCCTCATTTCTATCTGCTCTGGAACCTAAGGCTGTTTCAGAAGGCTGAAGCACTACAGGTGAAACCTGGCACTGTAATTAATCAGGATTCGAGAATGAGTGAAACCCTTTAACCTGCCTCAGATTCTTGGTGTCTCTCAGTTTCTCTTTCACTGTGGCCGAATAACTGAAATATGGTCTTGTCTGCAAATAGAGAATGAAGGGGGACAGAGAGCCCCGTTTGAAAGACTTTAAAATAACAAATTAGGTTCACACATGTAACAAAAGCAAGAGTCCTTTGTACATTTGGGAAAGCAAGTTGAAATCAGAAACTTAGTCTTGTTAGCCTTCAACATAATCCCTCAAGAGTGAGGCTAATGAAATTCCAATGATCAAAGAGTGTACTAGACACAGACATGAAGTTATTGGTGCTGTGGCTATCGGTGCTTACTGAGACTAAGCACAATTGGCGATACCATTGTTGCACTGCCAATTGCTCATCTTTTGAGCCACTACTTGGTGTGCGCCATCTTCCTCCTTTCCTGCCCTGGTTCACTGGGGCAATGCTTGCTCGAAGCTATTGATATTGCTATGCCACAGCTGCTCACTAGGGACACAGTATCTACAGCACATCTGCCAAATCAACCTGCTTCTGCAGTCACCCCAAGGATGGAAAACAGCTTTGTGCTTTACCCTCTACCTGGGCTGTGCTGTATTAACAATATTATAAATACTGTATTAATGATAATAGCCAACATTTATTAAGCACTTACCATATGTAAGCCACTATGTATAGTGCTTTATACATTCTCTAATTTTTCCTTACAATATGATCTTATGAAGTCAGTGTCATTATCTCTAAGAAACAATCTTAGATAAGTTGTTCAATGTCACTGGTGAGAAATAATTTGAATCCAGATCTGTCTGACTCCAAATCTATGATGCCTTGTATATATCCTCAGTGCCTGTCTAGGTATGGGATTCCTCCCACTCCCCTACCTGAAATAATCCCTGAGACAGAGATTTACATGCAAATAGTTCATTTAGGAGGCGATCCCAGGAACAGTGGAACAGGGTTAGGAAGTGTAAGATATAATAGTGATGCGAAGAAAGCTAATAAATGGTGTGTTATCTAGCCAGTTACTTCTATACCCCAATACTGCTGGGGAACTCCGGGAGACAGCATAGAACACATCTCAGAGTTATCCCAATCAAAGGGGGAGGAAGCTCTTCATCCATCACTGGATAATCCTCACCTGTCATTGACTGAGGGCTTCTTCCAGGGGAATTAATGTTCTGCCTTTCCAGCTTGCCTCAGCTTGCTTCTTTTGCTCCAGAAAAATAGGCTCTCCGCCAGGAAGTCATAGATGTTCACAATAACAAGCCACCCGCATCTGCTACACTGCCTTACAAATATTTTAATAAAACAAAATTTTAACATTTTAATCATTATTAATGTTTCTTTGGGTCAGGCACAAGTCTTCAGGGTCTGCAGGGCAATAAGTGACTGTCATTGTGCTGTATTAAAGTTCACATCTGACCCACAAACGTGGCACATTTTCCCCAACCATTTCTTCCTTGTGATCAGATCATTCCAAAGGGGGTCCCTTGATTCTTGCTGCCAACAGATCCTTGTCAGACCCATCCTACTGGCTTTCCTATCATAATGAGCAGTATCTATAGAGTCCCAGCATGACCCCAGTTAAACTGTCAAATGAAGGCCCTTGTAACATATGGTTTGTATTTCTCCTTTAAAACAAATTTCAGGAAGCAATAAAATCAGGATTTTATAAAGCAAAAACAGTGGGCTCTTTCTTTCCTAAATTAAGCTATTTTGATTAAAGTGAAGACTGCAGATACATAAGCTTCAGTGGGAAATGCAAAGATTATGGCTCAATTCCATTTTCTCTATGCTCCATGCCCTTCCTCTCTTTGATGCTATTCCATCAGGGACCTACCATCCCTAGTTAACCAACCACTTCCAGGATCACCAGGGCCCTGCAACAGAAGGAGCTGGACACCCCAGTGTGGAAGGCTGGTTTTGAATTAGGTTAGAATAGGAATCTTAACCTGAAATCCTTGGAGAGGCTCCTGAATGCCTCTGATAACATTATATATAAAACTATGTTTCCAAAATGTGCTCTTTAGCATTTTTCTGAAGAAAAAATTATAAAGCTTTGAGCAACTTCTCAAATTTGTATAATATCTCAAAAGGCCAAGAACCTTTGGGTTCAAAATAGCCCCAGAGAGCACTAAATGGCTTGAGGAGAGGCAATAACACAGTCTCTCAGATCTTTCCAAGCAAAACTGAGCTCACGCTCCCAACATGAGACTTTTTATCTATAGCCTCTTACTTTTTGAATCTTAGGTCCTGGCCATAAATCTGTGTTTTTAGTTTAGATCTTCATGTACTTTCAACTTTGGTCATTTCCTATAAACTGGAACGTGGTCAAACCTGAACAGAGACTTTCACACTTCAGAGGTGAGCCAATTGGCAAAGTCATTGGTCCAATGTACTGAATTGTGAAAGACTGGATAGACAAGCAGAGCTGTGTATTCATGATACTAGAGGGACTAAACCTCCAGACCAAGCTCAAAGGGCTAGTCCTGGATAATCCTGAGCCTCAGACATTCAAGTAGCTGTCAGCCCCAATGCACCAAAGCAGTCCAAACAATGGTTGATTCATTGGTTTATTCAACAAATAATTAAGAAATTCCTACAAGTGCAAGGGATTGTGCTAGGCACTGGGGATACTGCTCTGAACAAGGTGAGGTCCCTGCTTTCATAGAGATTAAATTCTACTTAGGAAGACAGACATTACATAACTAAACACAAGTTACATAACTAAACACAAGTTACATTACATAACTAAACACAAGTTTATAATTGTGAGAAATGATGCTACTACATAGTAGCATGGGGCACGGGCACACAGTTAGTTTGCAGGGGCAAGATAGAGAAGCTTTCTTGAGGAATTAATTTCAGAGCAAGTTCGGAAGCCACAGGCAACTCAGAAAGGTGTATTTGCAGCCCACACGTCTTTGCCACGCTCCAGACTCAACTATCTGGTAGCCAACTTGACATCTTTTCTTGGATGATTCCAAAGTACTCCCTAACTTAACATATCCAAAAATGACTTTTCTGGTTTGTATTTTTTTCATAAAAAAAATGTTGGAGAGAAATGAGTTCATAAGCTTCCTTCCTAAATGCGGATCTCTCCCACCACCTGCCAAGATACAAAACCCAGAAACCAGGGTCAACAAATACCTCCCCACTGCCTTACTTTCCAACTCTTATCACCAAGTGCTCTCCATTTTACCTCCTATGCATCTCTCAAATATGTCCTCTTCACCTTCCCTCACCACCACCTGCCTTGGGTCCCCTCATCTCCTCCCAGCTACCAATATATTTCATCTGGACTTCCTATCAATCTGGTCCTCACAGGAAACAGAAGACAATCTAGAGTTTTGAAGATAATTAAAAGGTTTACAGAACGGACAAGGAAAACAACAAGGGGGTTGAGGCACCCAGGGACTAGCAAACCATTATCACCCCTAAGACTGAAGGGACAAAGGGAAGGACATGTTTTATTAGAGTGTGAGAGGACTGGAGCTGCAGGGATTCCCCTGACGATACAGAGGGCCAGTGCATCAGCCAAATGGTGCTGAGATAGGAGGAATATCCTATTCTCTCCCTCTTCTATTGACTAAACAGAACCTGAAGCTGGAGGGCATGTCTGACTGATGTCAGTCCAAAGAGAGAACAGAGAATGGATGCAGGAGGAGAGAACTTGTTTACACCCATACTTGCCTTTTCCCCAAGCAGCCTCTATGCTAGTGATTAGCAAACTTCTTCTGTAAAGGCCCAGACAGTAAATATTTTAGATTTGGCAGGCTAGATGGTCTCTATCACAAATACTTAACTTTGGCAGTTGTAGCACAGATAATGTGTAAACACATTAGTGTGACTGTGTTCCAACAAAACTTTATAACACTGAGATGATTTTCAGGTAAGTTTTCACATCACAAAATATCATTCTTTTGACTTAAAAAAAAAAAAACTACTTGGAAATGCAAAAACTGTTCTCAGGCTGTATCCAAGAATGGCAGACTGAATTTAGCCAGGGACTGTAGATTTCGGATTCCTGCTCTACACTACAGCCATGGGTCTTTGTAAAACCCCAGTCAGTTCACTGTGCCCCTTGCCTGAACTTTTACATATTCCTAATGGCCTTAGGATAATAAGCCAAATCATGTAGCCTATGAGGACTGCATAGTCTGGCCCTACATACATTTCCATCCACACTTCAGCAGCAAGAGCCTCCCTGGGTTTCTCTTTCTCAACGTCATGCTGTCTCCACATCTTTAGAATCCTCTGCTCTCCACTCTCTATCTAGCTCATTTGCAGATCTCAGTTCACTGCAACATTATTTATAATAGCAAATAACAAAATGAAACAGGGGGTGGGGGCATAATATTCCCAACACTAGAGAAATGAATCATGGAACACCAGGCAGCCATTTTATAATTGTAGATTAATGAGAAACAATATTGATTAGATATTAAGAGAAAACACTCATGTTAAAGTAATACCTATTATTTCATATTGCTGTAATACATTTATACATATATACGTAGGTGGAAAAAATCTTGAAGGGAATGCACCAAGCTGTTCAGAGTGATAACTCATGGGCAATGAGGTTATGGGTTATTTTTCCTTTCTGCTGATCTCTATTTTCTAAAATAAATATGTAGCAAGAAAAATCAAGATGAATTTTAAAAAATCAACTTAACTAAAAAAAAATCCTGAATTTCAGGTGAATATGTTAGAAAGTTATGAAGTTATGAGAGGGCTGGGGAAGGAAAGGAGAAGTTTTCACAGTTTGATCTAACTCAAAACTAAATCTGTGAAATACTCGTTTCCTAAAATCACTCAGGATAAGTGTGTGATATATTGGTGGACATATTTTAGTTCCTGGGCTTTGACATTAATGGTAACAGACTTTTAAAGGGTAGCTCTTTTCTCCATTAAAAAGCAATGAGGCTGGGCGTGGTGGCTAACCACTGTAATTCCAGCACTTTGGGAGGCCAAGGCAGGCAGATCACCTGAGGTCAAGAGTTCGAGACCAGCCTAGCCAACATGGCAAAACCCTTTCTCTACTAAAAATACAAAAATTAGCCGCGTGTGGTGGCGTGCACCTGTAATACCAGCAACTAGGGACGCTGAGGCAGGAGAATCGCTGGAACCCAGGAGGCAGAGATTGCAGTGAACTGAGATTGCGCCACTGCCCTCCTGTCTGGGTGACAGCTGAAACGGAATAAACTGAGTTATCTCTCTTCAATTTGATTTAAATCATTAACCCCAAACCCAATGCCTTAAAAACCAATGACTAAAATCTTCATTAAACTGAGTGCACATGCCAATATTAAGAATGCTGTGTCATTCTTCATCAAAAGTAATTACCTCAACACAAGAGGAGACAAGTACGCATGGAAGTAAACCCCAAACCCCAACTAACGAACATCTGAGATCAGTGGCCACAGGGAATAATTCTGAAATTGTCATCACACTCAGGCAAAGATAACAACCCGGAGGTCTTATTTTTATAGAATATCAAGAACGAAATCATCCAAAAGGCACACGATGCCAAAATAAAAATAAAGAGCGAAAACCCAAAAAGTCGCGCGCAATTCCTTCTGAAACCTATCCGCCTCCTACCCCTGACCCTTCCTCTGGTGCTGGCGGGTTCTCGTCCCTGTTTCCCCCACCGCAAGTCCTGGAACCGCACCGCCTAACTCTTCTTGGCGGCCCCGCCCCGGCCAGGCCTAGGCCCCGCCCCGGCCAGGCCTAGGCCCCGCCCCATTCGCCGTCTATTGGCTTTTCCTACCCCCTGCCGGTGGGTGACGAGCCTGGAAGCCGGCGGGATCTATTGCGCACGCCCAAGGCGCTGGGCCTGGAGCAGGAGAAAGGGAGTGGAGGCGGGTCGCAGACTATGAAGCGCGGCGTTCGGCGGGATCCTTTCCGGAAGCGGAAGCTGGGCGGGCGGGCCAAGAAGGTCCGGGAGCCCACGGCGGTTAATTCTTTTTACCGTGAGGCTTCACTTGTTTCGGTCTGGGCTTCTCTGAGGCTGCGAGAGATGGTCAGGTCCGGATCTCGACCGGGCCAGGTGAGGGCTGAGGACCTGAGGAGTCCACTGTGGGGATGGCTCGAGGGACAGGGGGGTTTTCGGGCCAGGGACTTGTAAAATTATGCTCGAAAAAAGACAAAAGACAATGAGGCGACATTAAAGTGCTGGGACAGAGGTGCAAAGAACACCTAATCTTCCCGTCGTAACACAGCCGCTCGGTCTCGATGTGTTTCTGTTTAAATTATCGTAGCCCGCCGGCTTTGGGGTAAGACCGGGGTTCGAGTCCCAGCCTTCGCCGCTGGCTCGAGTGACTTAAGCTTTCCTAGCTTCGGCCACTTGCAGTTTGAGAGTCTACTAGTTTTTACTTATCAGAACTTTCTATTCTTTAGCTGCAAAATAGGCAGAAATAAGCATAAAATCCTGTCTCAAAGAATTGAGAAGGTTAAATCAGAGAACCCGGTAAAAACATCGATCACACAGTTGGTAGACGTACAACAACATTTAGTTCCCTTAAAAACTCGTAGTTTGCCACCATCTTGATAAACAGCAGCTAACATTTAGATAGGACTTATGTGGTAGATACTACTCTAAGTTATGTATTACATAAAATAACTCATTTCATAGTCACGATATCCTTATGAGGTAAGTACTATTATCCCTATTTTATATATGAGGAAATCGAGGGCCGGAGGGTTCAAATAACTTAGCAGTTACACAGCTGTGGAAAGAAGAATCAGACTCACAAAGCTGATGCCAGTCCATTCTTTTAAACATTTTACTTAGTAGATGTATGACTTTGAACAAACTTTTCTGACGTTTAGGTTCCCACCTCACAGAAATAATGATAACTCACAGGGTGTGGATAAAGTGGAAATGAAAGACCTTAGCGCACTCTAAGTCATTCTACAAAGGCAGTTTTATCTTGTACTTGTTGGTAGGAGATATGACTACTAAGAAATGCTTGTATGTTTCTCAAATAGCAAAATTAAAAGTTTAGTGATAATAACCCAGTAGAAGTAAGTGTAAAGTAAAGCAAACTGATTCTCCTGTATTGTGATTAGGACACTCCTTTTGGAGAGCAGCTTTGCAGTTTGTATCAAGGGTTATTAAATTACTAATAACCTTTCACCAAATAATTTTCCTTTTAATCCTAAATATGAAACGGCTGTTTTCAATAAATAGGCTTATTCCAGGTTTGTTTTCTTGATTGTGAAAAATAGGAAGCAAACCAAGACCATATTATATTACTTCCACTGAAGGAAATATTATACAACCATTAAAAATTTCTGAATATGAAAAAGATTTAAAAGTAGAAAACACAGGATTTAAAATTGCAAATATCTAGTTATTATGACTAAGTAAAAAATGCTTATAAAAAAAAGATTGGAAGCCCCGGTAGCAAAGAACATGTCTAGTACCTAGATCTTGGTTTCCAAGTACTACTGTCCACTAAGGAGTCCTGGCTTTTTGGAGAAATGACCAACTCCAGGGCTGAGCGGGGGAATTATAAGAAGAACGTGGATGCATCAAACTGAAAAGCTTCTGCACAGTACAGGAAATGATTAATGGAGAGAAAAGGCAGTCTACAGAATGGGAGAAAATATTTCCAAGCCATGTGTCTGATTAATAATCCAAAATACATATAAGGAATTTCTATAACTCAAAAGCAGAACAACACATAACCTGGTTAAAAAATGAAAAAAGGATATGAATAGACATTTCTCCAAAGATGTACAGATGGCCAACAGGTATATGAAAAGATGCTCAACATCACTAATCATCAAGGAAATGCAAATTAAAACCACAATGAGCTATCACCTAACACCTGTTAGGATGACTTATTAAAAAAACAGAAACAAGTATTGGCAAGGATTTGGAAGAATTGAAACCCTTGTACACTGTCAATGGAAATGTAAAATGCTATAGCCGCTTTGGAAAACAATATGGAGAGTCCTCACCAAATTAAAAATAGGACTATATCACCCAGCAATTCTACTTCTGGGAATTTATCCAAAAGAATTGAAATCAGGATATAGAAGAGATATTTGCACTCTCGTGTTCATTGCAGCACTATTCACAATAGCCAAAATGTGGGAACAACCCAAAAGTCTACCTACAGATGAATAGATAAAGAAAATATGGTATATACATGCAATGGACTATTATTCAGCCTTTAAAAAGAAGGAACTAACTGTCATATGCACCAACAGAGACGAACCTTGAAGACATTATGCTAAGTGAAATAAGCTAGTCACAGAAGGACAAATATTGTATTATTTTACTTATATAAAGTATCTAAAATAGTTAAAACTCACAGAAACAGAATGTGAGTGTGGATTGGGCATGAACCAGAGGGATTTTTGTTTTTTGTTTTTTGTAAAGAGCAGTATTGGGATAATTGGCAACTTGCAAATAAGGTCTGAACATTAGATCAAAATTCTGTATCCATGTTAATTTCCTGGTTTTGATAATTATACTATGGTTATATTAGAGAATGACCTTGTTTTTAGGAAATATTTAGGAGTAAAGGAGTATTGTATCTGCAACTTAACTCTAATGGTTCAGGCAGAAAGTAATGCTGTGTATATATATTGAGAGAGAATATGGAAAACGTCCAGGGTCACAGAATCTGAAGCATATATAGGGCTTCTTTGTACTATTATTTCATAATAGAAACTACAAAAAAAAAAAATTGAAAGGAATTGTTCCAATATGATAGTTACTGTTTCAAGGTGCTTTTATCATGGGTAATTTCCTGTACTAGAGTTTCTATAATATAGCCTTGTGTATATTTTTTGGAGAAACACCATACATAACCTTACAGTTATGCCAGACATGTACCTCAGACAGTGTACTTAAAAAAACATTTTTTTTTGAAAGAATAATTGTGGTAGTTGTTTTTGGACTCGATCCAGGGTACAGTATTACAGTGTCATGGCTTGGATTTGTTATTATGATTTCAGCCAGGACATCGACATAGATATACGAAAGGGAAAGACCCTGAGAGTGTGACACAGAGACCAGTGGAGTGATGTTCTCACTGCTGGCTTCATGACCCTCCATCATATTCCAAGTTATCTCAAGAAGTATAATTCTTACCAACCCAGTTTTTTAAAAATGTATTCTCAGTGACATTCTTAGAAGGATGGAGCGCATATTCAAGCATATAATAGAATGCCATGTAACTCCAGAAAGTTTGGTAGTTACTGCTCAAAGCTATCTTGAGATGAAATATGTAAATATGTCAAGATAAATTGTAAATGAAACTGCCAACAGTGACTACATCTGGAGGGTGGAACGAGGAGGGAGTCAGGGACTTTCTTGTATCTATTTAAAATTATTTTGAATAGAGATTATATTTATCTGATATAAAGTTGTTAAGATATAAAATAGTATACCATGGAAAGTGTCCCTTCTCACTCTGTCCCCCAGATACTCAGTTTCCCTCCCCGGAGGCATCCATGATTAACTGTTTCTGGCATAACTCCCAAGATACTGGATGCATGTAAAAGCAAATGCTTATTTTTTTCCTCTTTTTCTACACAAAATGTTGTCCATTATGTCACTTTTAAAACAAAAAAATTTAAGAAAACAACAGTGGTATATGAATTTAAAAAGTAAGATTAAGACAATGAGATGTAGATAAAGAGAAAGGGCAGAGTTCTTGCTGGTCTAATCAGGCATTCCAAAGAATGTACATAAAAGGAAGCAGAGTTAAAAACTCTGTTCTGTATCTTGAATTAACTTGTATGTTTCAAAGAATTTGGGAATATAGAACATATTTTGGGATTAGTATAGTCTGAACTTAGTGTAGTAGTTAATTCCGGTTTAAAATAATATCTCAATTTCCTTTTTACCTTAAACAGACTTAAGGAACAAATATATGTGTTGTTTGCTTGACATTTTACATAAAAGAAATTTAATATATGAATTAAATTGTAATTGTGGATTTTTAGGATAGATCGCGTTAATTAAAACAGTGAATAATATGGTACATACAATGGAATATTATTTGACCTCAAAAAGGAAGAAAAATTTCGACACATGCTACAATATAGATGAAGCTTGAAGACATTATGCTAAGGGAAATAAGCCAGTCACAAAAGGACAAATATTGTATTATTCCGGTTATATAAAGTTTCTAGAGTAGTCAAATTCATAGAAGCTAGGTTGGTAGTTGTTAGGGTCAGGGGGAAGAGGGGATGGCAAGGTATTGTTTGATGGGTACAGAGTTTCAGTTTGAGAAGATGAATAAAAGAAAAAAATAACATTAAATTTTGTCAAGATAGCATATTGAAAATATAACAGAAAAATGTTTATCTGCTATAATATATTATGTCATAGGTGTTATCTTCAGGAAGGCACACTGGACCTGCTAAATTAACAAATGGAAAGAAAGCGTAAGTACTTATGAAGACGTTTACAACTTCAGATTTCAAGATGTTTTTCAGGTCTTTGGGCTGGATGACATGTTGTCTACCCCAGAAAATTAGGTAGGCCTCTACTGTCACAAGCTCTGGGGAACAACTTTTTATATCTACCCATGTTAATCATTTTAGTATTTAACAGTCTTTCTAATCTTCAAAATGTGTTTATAAATTCATCTTGTACATGGTTGGACAAGCTTTCTTGTCTTTGCTGAAAAGAAGATGACTGCTTACTAATGTATTTTGGGGAAAATATTTGTAAAAATATTAATGAGCTTGTTTTCCAGGACCTATTTAAGAAAAATATCACGTTTTAATGCAGATTCTGGCTATTCCATCCATTCTGATTCAGAAAGTCAGGTAAGATTGAATAGATACAATACTCACTATTTTAATTAGTTTTCAGATAGTAGCTAAAAAGTAGGAATAAAATGCAAAGTATTAATTGCTGTAAGGAAGTATGAAGTCTGTTGCTTTAAAGCATCTTTTCTACCAATAATAAATTGTTTGTAAATAAACAAATTTTAAAACTACATAATATATATTTTTTCCTACACTAACAGTTATATACAAATGTATTCTAAATGACTTTATTCCTTACAGGCGGAAACTGTACACGGGCTTGATGGTTGTGCTTCTTTGCTGAGGGACATTTTGAGAAATGAAGATTCAGGTTTATTTTTTTAAATTCTTTGCTGAACACCTTATCTCAATTAAGTCATTATTTTGATGTTAACACATTTTTGTTTTATTAATAGGTTCAGAAACAGCATATTTAGAAAACAGATCTAATTCTAGACCTTTAGAAAGCAAAAGATATGGATCAAAAAAGAAAAGACGTGAAAAACATACTATTCCTTTGGTAGTCCAGAAAGAAACATGTAAGCCTTTTTTCTCTTAGTTATTTAAAGATAATCCTTAATTGTGGGTATTTTGATCAATTATCAGGATTATGCAGTTGACTTTCATTTTAATAATCAGTATTGGTTAGGTTTATGTGTGCTTATGCCTTTCTGTATTCAGCTTCTGATCACTGAGTAGTCCACTTTGCTTGCTATCATTTTCTCAAGAAGAAAAGTAGAAAAAGAGACTGAGTTTTGTAGGAGAAAAAGTTCAAACTCAGAATGACATTTGCGAGGTATATAGAGTTATCTTAATTTTCCCTGCCACTCTTTTTCATAGATAATCATAAATTGGTTGTATTTCAGGTATATACTTCTAGTAGTTTCTTTAAGATTATTATATTTATATGTGTGTGTGTGTATATATGTGTGTGTATATATATATATATGTCCTAAGTTAGTCAAGCCGAACTTGTCAAGCTGCACAGTTAGGATACATGGTACATAAGGAGGTAAAATTGGATCAATAAGGAAAGAGAGCCTGCTGCTGATTGATGGTGAATATAGCCAAGGGTACTTTACATCCTCACAGCTAACTTTTCCTAGTTTAGAACAAGAAAGTTTTGGTTATGTTGTCCCTTGGAGGCCTAGAGAACAAGATAGCCCATAATGAAGATGAAAAAGTCCACAATGGGAATTCAGATGGACGAGAATTAGACTAGCCAGTTCTATAGTTCAGGTGGGCCAGAAATGTCAGCACTGTAGGACATGCTTAGATTCAGCTTGGCCAAGGAATGAAGTTTAGAAAGTCTTATAAGGGAGTATCCCTATATATTAAGAGATCAGGATTTAGGCAAGGAGGCTGAGAAAGTGTCAGTAGAGCTTTCGTGGGACTAGAGGTTGTTGTTTCAGATAGTCCCGAGGTAGAGAACTAAGGCAGGGGAAACGTAACTCATCTTGGAAGCCAGTAACAATAGCCTTATATTATCATGACCTGTACTATTCAAGATGGTAGCCACTGGCCACATGTGGCTATTCAGCACTTGAAATATGACTAGTACGACCAAGGAATTGAATTTTTAATGTTATTTAATTTAAATTAATTTACAATTAAATTTGAAAACTGTAATGGATCCAGTTATTATAAAACTTTTAAGTATGTTTGGAATAACTTGGGCATGTGAACCTACCTTTTCAAGTGTAAATTTTATTAAATCTGAATATAGACCAAGTATTTCTGATGAGAATTTAGCATCTAGATTGTGCTTTATGTAAAATATATGCTAGATTTAGAAGAATTAATACAAAATTTCGGTTATTATACACTGACATGTTAATATTTTGGATATATTGATTTAAATAAATATGAAAAGTAATTTTACCTATTGTGTAGTTCCTGGAAATTTTTTTTTTTTTTTTTGGATCTCACTAGGGAGTGCCGGACAATCGGTGCTGGGTCCAGCTGCTGCAGCCGACAGCAAGAGCCCACCTGCCGAAGCGCAAGGCAGAAGGGAATCCTTCTCCTCGACCAGGGGGAGACCTGAGACCACAACACCGGAAAATCGGTAACTCCCACC